GTATGTTGTCCCTTTGTAGGTTCAATGTAAATTGCTTTGATACTTCGGGGTTCCATCAAATTGCTGGAATCCATCCCAATTGCATGAACATATTGGACTGCTCATTGAAACAGACAGGGCGTTGAGGCTCCCATTCAGGTCTGTAGAGCAGGTCCATTTGACAGTTTGTTTGATTGCATCGGCAATTGTCGATGGTGGGTCATTGTAATACTCCAACAGAAACTCATTAATCCAAGGATAGTCAAACAATTTGGAGCATATTAACCAAAAGCCCTCCAAGGGATGCTCCAAGCGTAGACGTGCATTGTTCATTTTGCCTGAAAAGAAATGGTTGTCATCCAGTTTATCTTCAAACTCATCAATACGGAAAAAGAAAAACGGATTTTGTAAAGAAATCCGCATTGCCAAGATGCGTAAAGACCGAATATCTTCAGATGGATTCACTTCCATCATTTCAGTGTCAAATGCGGCAATGAGGTACTTAGTCAATTGACTGTTATCCAAATTCATCGATGTGAAAATGCGGGCAAGATGATCTTCACAAGTTGCTGTCCCTGTATTATTGTTAAATGGATCGTCATACCAGAGGCAAGGTTGGTTCCAAGCGCCCGGAAAACGTTCTTCCAACGCAATAAAAAGCGCGTTACCCGTATGGATATGGTCATGGCGTTCCAATGCTTCGTCGACAGCATCTCCTGAATATAAATTCTGCATCCACCACTCCGACAAGTTTGGAACAATGCTGTCATAATGCCCACTCCTGCGAGCTTCTTGTTCGGCAATTTGTTTTGCCTCAATCTCATCAGCCAAGTGTTGCGCTTCATTGTCATCAGTAACATGCTTCTCTTCAGTCTGGGTTTCAGACACCATCTTAGAATCGATGGGATCCCTGTCTTTAGACTGTTGTAGGTCAATTTCAACTCGTTTTTTTACCGCCTTTTTAGCCACAGAGGTCGTTTTCATCTTAGACACGCCCGACTTTTTTGTCATCGCCAAGGATGCCTTTGTGTTGATAGATTTTCCCATGGTGCGCTGGTGTTGAATGGTTGGCTTGGTGATAAATTCAAAGTTTTCTACGTAAATTTAGTAGTGGCGCTACATGAGGCAGACTGGGTGGTTCTGCCGGAATGCATGTTGTTTCGTTTCTGAAATATTTTTTAATATGACTGGGTGCCCATCATGTCACTGATCCTCCAAGCGACCTTGCACAAAGCTGGGGTTTGCCGTTCCTTTCCCCGCGTTGTGGTCTTTGCCCCTCTGAAATATCAGGGATTGGGTATCCCACATCCCTTTGCCTTTCAAGTCTTCCATCATCTCAGTGTTCTGATGCGCCATTAGGCCAGCCGTATCAAGACCGGAGGCCAGTCTACAGTCCCACCAACTCGAAACGGGCACCTCCTTTCCCCTTCTTCAACAAGAACCCACCAACACCGGGATCCTCGCCTCCAAAACATGGCTCAAACGGGTTTGGATCAAGCTTGACTCATTGGGCATCAGAGTCAAGATCTCCTCCCCTCCCTTGTCCCTCCACTGTGCCCACAATCGTCTCTTGATGGACATCTTCGTTGATACCTTGGTCAACCAAGAGGAATTGCTGTGGCTCAACTGGTGCCGCCAATACCTCCAAGTCACCACCCTCTCAGAACTCACCACCGCCGACGGTTGTTCCCTGACGGCAGCTTCTCTTGCTGGCCAACCCTCCGGACACTTTGTGACCAGTTACAATTGGCCCCAAACCCGACGCCCTGGCCCCTCTCATTGGGACCTATGGCGACGTGTTCTCTCTCAAGCCGTTCTCTGCCCCCACAGCCGCCGTCGCCGCTTGTTGCACCCCCATGGACCGTGGTCTGACCTGGCTCCTCTCTCCCACGTCTTCGATCCTCTTCCATCAGACGGCCTCCAACCTGTCCATCTACTGACCCATCAACTCCCGTTCTCATAGGACCTTCCGGAGGGATCTTCATCATAACTGGACAGGGCCCCTTCCTGGGGACGTCCAAAGGGCATCAGTCGACCTTCACCCACAGACAGCCTATGTCACTATGACGGGCACAGCCCCGGTCGGTCCACCAGATGCAGAGATATTGCTAGCCTCAATCCTTTACATATGGCGGGAATTGGCAGCTGACATGGACAACAAGTGGGGCTGGGTCCCGGAATACATCTATATTGAGGAAAGCTACAGGTGATCAGCAATAGCTCCTTCAAGCAACAAGTGGGCACAGCCGCGGTCCAGCTACGGACTAGACGCAGAGGGCACATCATCTGGATCAAATGCCATACACCTGGCAAACAAGAGGATCAGAGTGCTTACCGGAGTGAACATATTGGTCTGTTAGCTGGTATCTTGGTGGCTTCTTGGCTCCGCCTACGCCTAAAGTCCCTTGCCAAGCCACAAGTCTGTGTGGCATGTGATGGGATTGCTGCGCTTCATCAGGCCTTCCCTACTTGGCCGTTGTCTCCTACCGCCCCACACTTCAATCTCTTGTCCTCCATCCGCGAGGCCCTCCAAGTTTCCAACATCTCCTGGGCCAAACAACACGTGGGTGGCCATGCTGACCGAACCAAGACATGGCAACAGATGTCTTGGTGGGAACGACCAAACTTGGAAGTGGATGACATTTCCCAAGGCTACCCTGACAAGCTGATTGCTACCAACAACATGATCGCCACCAACCCCAATATTCCAAAAAGACCAAAAAGTAAAAAAAACACGCTCATCCTGGTTTCAAGACACCACCTCTAGTACTTCTCCTACACGCAGCAGCCGACCGAGCAATGCTGGAAAAGAGGTTGTTTTCAATTGGAAGACCAAGGATCAAGATGAGCAAAAGAAAGACAGGCAAGGTCCCCAGAGCACAAACAGTATCCGAAAATGATTCAAATTATGCTCCTGTAAGCCTTGTCCAAAAAGAACAGGAAAAAGTGGCCAAAATCTGCCCATTTGATGCCTCTGCCTTTTTGGGCCTGTTGGACGACAATGACAGCGACGAAATCGCTGATGACGAAGAGGATAACATCAAGATTCACGGTCAGAAAGCAAACTGGGATATCTATTATTTCAGAAGTCACTTTGTCCAAAAAGAACAAACAAAAATGGTCCAATCTTGCCCATTCTTTGCACCCTTTTTGGGCATTCCTGATGATTCTGGCGGTGCCATCAAATCAGTTTCCGATGATGAGGAAGACAAGGCATCCTATCGTTCCACCCATGGCCCTCTGGGATAGAGGGCCAAAAGGTTTTGGCCTCCGCCAACAACGCTATTCCCACTCGCTCATCTTGCAGCCAGGAGTTGATCTGCCGCTGTTTAACATGGTCACCTTCCTCCGGGACACCGTTAAGGTTCTGGAAGGTGACGCAAGTAGCTAGTGAAGGGCGACAGCGGTGGTCGTTGCCAAGGCAGTCTCCTGGTGGAAGAGAGCGTAAATATTCGTCAAGTGAAGCGTGGGACGTGACCTAGCGGAAGACAACCTGGGGCCTCTCATGGCCCTGCCACGGAGCGAGGTGCTCCGCGGCCACCAAAGAAGGCAACTTAGGAGATCTGCTAGTACCGGATTTGCTAGATGGAGAAGGGAGAAAGAGTGGGTGTACGCCTCCCGGAGATGCCACTGTCAGAGATAAGAGGCTCTTGTACTGCGACACGGCTGTAGTAGTATCGCCCTCCATCTGAGTTGTGTCCACATGTACCTGAGACTTTTTCTGAGACCGCTGCTTCGGCTGCTGGAAGTGAACAGACGTGCTGGTGCAAGTTGACTTAGTGGGCGGCTTAAGACCAGCCGTAGACCTGTCAACGCTCCTCTTAACCGTGGAAGTATATCCTTGCTTTTCCTCTTTTTTGGTGGCGTAGTAAATTTGGACCAATGTGGAGAGACCTCATTGTTTTGAGCAAGTGGTTGCAAGTTGATGGCCAAGTGGTGAACTGTTTGACGTTGAAGAGCGTCAAGTTGGGCTTGGAGGGCCGTAATTTTGGCCTTCTGCTGAGCCAGGGCCTGATCTTTAGCCGCCAAGGCGTTGTCACAAGCTTCGATTTCCAAAAAGGCATCCTCCAGTTGTTGTTCACGTTCTTGCATTTCATCAAGCATCCCCGTGACCGTTTGTCCATTGTCAATATCCTTGGCGTTCGCCATATCCATATCAATTGAGAGTTGACCTTGGTAGACATTGGTGGTGTCTTCAATCACATCGTCCAAAAACTCCAGAGCTTCCTCCACCTTGGTCGACTGATCGGAGGCCTCAATAGCGCGTAGTGTGTTGGTGCACCATACCAAACACTTACAACGCGTTGCCTGGATCTCTGATTTGGGAATCCATTTATCCATTTACCCAAGACTCGATCAGCTTGCATATCGGTAAGTTCGCACAGGTGATGAATCAAGAACGGAACTATCCCTCTCAACATGTTTCGAGCCAACTGACCGTACTTCTTGTGACATACAAAGATGTAAGAGCCTTCCATTTCTCCAGGAAGGATCATCAAGAAGAGTGGACCTGCTTTATGGCGATCAATATCGTTCTGCAGTTTGCGGTTGGTGGCTTCAGCCAGTTTGCGTTGTGCCGGGGACAGATCTTTGAGAAAATGATTCTTGAGGTTATCGGAAGGGGCAACTTCTTCTTTTTCTTCTTCTTCTTCTTCTTTGTCACCTTTGTGAATGCCCCGGATAGAGAAACCGCTCCCTCTTGAGATTCATTGTTGTCCTCCTCTTCAGATGAGTCGTCATTGGCAGTTGTTGGAGAGGGTTTGTCTTTGCCAGCTGTGAAAGCTTGATCAGCCTGGGCCGGAGTGGCCTTGATAGACAAGAGCAGTTTGAACAGGGTGCAAGAACCGTACAACCGTGTAGTAGCAAATTTGAAAATTCCAGTGAAGTTGATGCCTGGATAAAGAACATCCGTCAAAATGTAGTAATCCCGTAACTTTCTGATCAAGGTCAGGATCGCATCCTTCACCAGACCGTAGGCCTTGACACTCAGCAATCCTTGTTGCGCCAACTTCCAATCACTCATGTAGGTGGCCGGTGCTGCGAATGGAAAGTCAGGTTTTGCACTTGCTGGGTGGAGAATCAACCTCAAAGTGCAATCAACTCTCTTGGCATGAATCCTCCAAGTGAAACAATGTGGACTAGTCACTCCAGGGGACCGTTCATCGCACTTTGCTCGGCCCATGTACGGAATAGAAATCCAGTCCATCTTGATACCAATAGGTACTTCAAAATCAAATAGTCTCATCAGCTCCTTTGCATTAGCTGAGAAGTTGACTTCTGCAGGAATAAACGAGCATGATCCGATCTTCACAATTTCTCCATACTGCAACGGAGAAGGGTAGCACCCAGCGCCTCTACCCAATTGACGTAGTCCGGTATGAAGGTAGTCTTGGACGGCCTTGGCAGAAGCCTAAGAAGAAAAGCCAACACGAAGGTGTGTGCGCAGTTTTCTTGCCCGGCTTGCTGTTGGTTGCCGCGTAAGGACATTTACTGTATTTCATATCACAGTAAGTAGATAGAGTGCGATAAGTCAAAATGCGATTATGTGAATCTACTGAGCTTCGAATCCAAAGATTCTGTTGCTTATATGTGGTATCGGAGATCAGAAGGAGCTTCAATTCATTAGTAGAATTGTTGATGGCTTCCTCCATAGAAGTCAGAACTGACGGCTTCCTCCATAGAAGGCAGAACTGTCGACAGGCGCACCTCCGCCACAGTTCCTGAATCCAACCTTTGATAGTCCACAGAGAAAGTAGTCTCAAAGATGTGACACTTGCCTGGTACGCCTTCCATATTCACCTGAATGAGGTTTGAGATCCGTTTGGCCAGTGTTGAAGGACGTTGAACACAAGGAGGAGTTGTTTCCGAGGGCTCCATAAGGGTCCCTGTACCTGCTGAGTCTTGTGTTGCCGTGAGGTTGTGGGAAATCAACGGTGAAGTGTTGTCGTCCATGGCCTCATCGTGCGGATTTTTCCCATCGCTATTGACCCGTTCATCATCATCGTCTTCCTCCATTGCGTCATCCACAATGTTCGCTCTGTTGTCAGTGTCATCAGCATCAATGTCTTCATCTTCATCCGATGACTCAGGTGCCTTGGAGTGATTCTTTTACACCGCCACCACTTCAACCGCGTCAAACTCTTGACTTCCACTACCGTCGGACGAGTCATTGTCACTTTGTAGAGATGCAAAGCGATTTGAGTTTTGCCCGCGGAGCTGGCGGAATTGCGTTGAACATCCGTGCCTGGTTTGTCAATAGAATACATTGAATCGTATATTTTTTGAATACAAGGCGGATCCGGTTCCTTCACTAGTTCTTGGTTTGGAGGAGCTTTCTTGGACTTGTCACTTCTCCTTTGTTTGATTGCGTCAACAATTGCAGATGGCGGGTCGTCGTAATACTCCAACAGAAACTCATTAATCCAAGGATAGTCAAACAATTTGGAGCAAATTAGTAGTAACCAAAAGCCCACCAAGGGATGCTCCAAGCATAGACGTGGATTGTTCATTTCGCCTGAAAAGAAATGGTTGTCATCCAGTTTATCTTCAAACTCAGGAAAACGGATTTTGTAAAGAAATCCGCATTGCCAAGATGCATAAAGACCAAATTTCTTCAGATGGATTCACCTCCATCGTTTCAGTGTCAAATGCGGCAATGAGGTACTTAGTCAATTGACTGTTATCCAAATTCATCGATGTGAAAATGCGGGCAAAATGATCTTCACAAGTTGCTGTCCCTGTATTATTGTTAAAAGGATCGTCATACCGGAGGCAAGGTTGGTTCCAAGCGCCCGGAAAACGTTCTTCCCACGCAATAAAAAGCGCGTTACCCGTATGGATACGGTCATGGCGTTCCAATGCTTCGTCGACAGCATCTCCTGAATATAAATTCTGCATCCACCCCTCTGACAAGTTTGGAACAATGCTGTCATAATGCCCACTCCTGCGAGCTTCTCGTTCTGCAATTTGTGTTGCCTCAATCTCATCAGCCAAGCATTGCACTTCATTGTCATCAGCAACACGCTTCTCTTCAGTCTGGGTTTCAGACACCAGCTTGGAATTGATGGGATCCCTGTCTTTAGGCTGTTGTAGGTCAATTTCAACTCGTTTTTTTACCGCCTTTTTAGCCACAGAGGTCGTTTTCATCTTAGACACGCCCAACTTTTTTGTCATCGCCGAGGATGCCTTCGCTGTGATAGATTTTCCCATGGTGCGCCGGTGTTGAATGGGTGGCTTGGTGATAAATTCAAAGTTTTCTACGTAAATTCAGTACTAGCTACGCGAGGCAGACTGGGTGGTTCTGCCAGAATTTGTGTTGTTTCGTTTCTGAAATCTTTTTTTCTTTATTGCAAGCAACGAGTGAATTGGTTGATAAAGTAGGATCTCTGATAGCTCTATATTTTTCTATACACTCTAAATTCATATACTTAGAAGGCAACAATACCTGGACAGCTAAATTGCAGTCAATTGAACACGTAGATTGCAGGCGGCAGCGGATTGCTTACTTCTAACAAGTTTGTCTTGAAAGAAGTCATAGTGCTGTATCTTCACTTCTTGAAGTTCAAAGAAACTGAAACAAAGTCAGATGTGTAGCAAATGATACAATAGTAGTTTACTGTAACTCTGCAGAGTATATCTCTTCAGTAGAAGCCTTTGGCGAATAGTAACCCAACCTTCACAGAAGAGTCTTATTGAAAATTATAGATGACTTTGGAAAGGCACAGAAAGTGCATACGTAGGACCTAAGGTCTAATATAGTCCCCAACTGAAGGAGCTTCTAGAGTCCCAATATCTTGGGCCTGTTCTATGGGCCGTTTCAGTGGCGTCTCTTGTTCTGATGTATCAAAAAATACCAGTACATTTGCTCTGTATGATGGCTACACATATATTTTTTAAAAATGCAAAAGAATGGATCAGTTTGACTGATTCAAAAGATTCGTTAAGATAGTCTGCAAAGTGGCCCGTCTTCTTTTCCCCGGGCAGCTTTGCTTACTACTTTGTGGGTGTGCACGTGAAAACTGGGATGTTGTAATGACCTTGGAGTGACCTTGGAACTAGATTAGACCCTTTGGAGGTACATACATAGCTTTATGCCTAACTCTCACGTCACTCCTTTCTGTGGCTTTCTGAGAAACTCTTTAACTTTTGTTGTGACCCATTCCTATCTCTTCTTCTAGGCTGGTTCAGATGTACGGTGGGGTTTGGTGTTCGGGTGTCAACAAGGAAGCTATTTATTTAGTTAATGTTTTTTGTCACATCTTGTGGAGCCTTAAAAAATACAACCCAAATTTGGTCGTTTTATTTCCGACTCCATTCCATCGACCAAGTCCAATGCTCAACTCAGTGGACTAAATATTTGTTCTTAGTTTTTCAGCCTTTACGGCACGTTATGTCTGCCTTCCTCACCATTTGCAGACCATACCCTGTACATTTATATAATTACTGTGTATGTTCTCGGGACAAAATTATTATGGGGTCACTCGAGGGGAGTTTTCGATTTTAACTCATCTCCCGGGTTTTCAAAAATATTTGCGTTCAAATTTGTACTATAAACGGCTTTAGCTGCCTGACCAACTTGCAGTATGTCCCCTTTTATCCTTGCTACGCATAATGATTGGACCCATTCAACCTGTGAATGAATCGACAAAAAAACAAGGTCGTGGTGTTCCTAGTGCCAAAATATAAGATATTGTATTGGATACACTTTGTTTTTGTTGTGCTATTCCTAACTTTAAAGCAGCGCGTTGAAGGAGAAGACAACAACAGCAATGTCTGATTGGCAGACGTCAAATCTTGCTCTGCTAATCTTGATTGCATAGACACAACGAGCGCCTGTGGACAACTAGTGTCAGGATCGAAGTAGTCGTCGTACAACTTACTAGATCGTCTGTCCGTATGTCCTCATACATCACATCATTCATCACGTTCATCTAGACACTCTATGAGTTACTAACAATTAACAAGTCTCTTTGCAGTTCTACCAACTAAGCTCATATTATGCCTTTAACTACACCCGCTGACAATAGTTTCGTCACTCCTAGCAAGACTGTTGATTTTTCTGGTGAAAATCCTGAGGAAACTGACAATACAGTTGATGAAAATGTTGCCGCGGCAATTCCTCCTGTGGTGCATGACAAATTCACCAAACCGGAGGCGTTGCTCATCACAAAGATTGTCTTTAACAAGGAGAATCCGACCAAACCAATGATTGACACGCTTCAGACTTTCTTTGACCACATTGGTGTTGAGAAACCGTCTGATCTTGAAGGACAGGATGTAGATGACTTACTCAGTCATGGAGAGGATGCCCTCCCAGATGGCGGCCTAATTTGCAGTGTCATCACTGGGCGTCTCAAGAAGTTTCTCCTCTACGCATCTGCCCCTTCCGTGGTCATCGATCCCAGTCTTACCTACCAAAAGATTGTGCAATTTTCGATTGACCAAGCAAAACAAAATATGCCTACTACTCCTATTGATTTGACAAAAGCAATTGGCGAACGTCAAGGCATGAAGTTTTGCTGCCCAGAGGTCGAACCATTCAGTGGCGAATCTACTGTATATGGGCCATGGACATCTAAGGTTGCTTTGGAATTTGGACAATCTGGTATAGAACTTGCTCTAACGGATACAAAGTTCCATGAACAATCTACTTGGCACAAGGATGCATCAAGTCAGGGTTTCTACGCAATCGCAAAAGCTCTGGATGATGGTACCGCTAGCCATATTGCCGATGAGGTGAAAGAAAAGCGGGGACAAACTGTGGCCTACGATCTTTACCAACGATTACAAGAGACCTACAACTCTCCCGAGGATCAGGCCCATTTTGTAATGTATGCAATTGACGAGTTGACTTCCATCAAGTTGACTCACAAAGTTACAGTTCCTGATTTTTTATTGGAAGTCCATTACTACAAGATTGCGGAAAAGTAATCAATCACTGGCAACAAGCCATGAACTTCTCCGTGTTTTCCTCCTCAAGGCAATTGTCTCTGATACATACAGTGACATGAGACGTTACATTGTGACATACCCGTTAGCTTCCATTGACGAGTATCTCAAACAATTACGCTCCCACAGTAAAACACAAGCTCTCATTGACGAGGAATCCCCTGTCCTAAACAACGGTGCTGTGGTGGCTTGCCATGGAGCAACTACTGTCTCGCCGCGACCACTCAACTGGTTCCTACTGTTGAGGCAGACAACTAGCAACAACGGGAGACTGTCCCTTGAGCTGCAGTCACTGTCCAAAAGACTATGGGTATGTATACGAGGTTTGTCATTGTCATTGCTGCTGCAAATGCTGCAACACCAACTATTTTCTTTATGCTTCAACCATCATCCCCTGGACAATCAGGCTTCAAGGCAGCGTCAAGCAGGAGTTGAAAGGCAACAACGAACCTTCCCAGTCCAGCTTAATACGGAAGAATATATGGAAAGCCTAAGAATTAAAGGAACTATGCAAAGAACATAAGATGTGTGCTGCATGGGCCTTGAATGGAGTTAAGCCTTTTGCTTCATTGGAATGTCACAGATGGTTACTGTCCAATCAATTCTTCCTCTTTCCGTTGTAATTGCTACAGAGTGTGAACAAAACCCACAGTGTAAGGCTCTTCCTTGTCGATTACATACGCTTGCAAAAGAAACCGATCTCATTCTCATACCTTTGGCTAGATATGAAACGCAGCAGTGCTCCTGTTTGTAAATCTTGTGAATACTTATCAGTGGGAAGGGCGTTGTCCTGTCGATCCAAATGCACCTACCGCATGGCAGCCAGGAGACTTGAATATGATGTTCACAAAGCTTGCAAACGAGCCATATCTGAGCAAGCACATTGTCGAAACTCCATCTCCAGCAACAAATGGTCCATGAATTATAACAATGAAAAATATTGTTTCAGAAGACGAGGCTGAACAATTGATTGAGCTTGGTGCTATAGAAGGACGTGGAAGAAGGTGGTGGGACTGATTTTGATGTAAGCTACTTTCGCAGTTCTGGCATGGCATGGCATGCAATGACAAAGTACATGACTTGTGCGAACACTGGATGGGGTATTTTTATGATAGCAGTTGGGCATTACTGTAGCGGCAGAGTGTTGCTTTGGCCTTCTGTTCTGGATCATGCGCGAGACAATAAAGATCGTTGAACTACCCATCAAGCCCTTCCCATGATCCAAGGAACCAAGTACGGAGCAAACGCATGGCTCCACCAGCATGATTTCAAAACGCCAAATCAAGAGGGTTGCCAATAAAAGGGGGAGTTGGATTTCGGTTCTGGCGGACATCAGACAAGCGACAGGCTTGTCGTCGTCCAAACCGATTGACAACTTTGTGGCCCATAAAGCCATCATTGCCAACCAGCCGTGCCAACATGCGACCCATCAAGTCGTCATGCAGAGGCACCGACCATAGCGATCTCCGATCCGCCTAATAGGAAATAATCATCTCTACAGGAAATAACTATTCTAAAAGACTTGTTATCTACATGGAATGGGCAAAGCAAAAGCCTTGCACGAAAACTCAAATTTCCCAAACCTTTACTGGATGTTTGCAATCCAGAAAGGCCGGTACAAAACCCACGTACAGAACTCCCGCAGGATTCAGTATGGGATTTTTGTGGCGCTCAGACGTTTGATAGTCCAAACCCACAATTCCATGTTTTCAGATTCCCTGCAAAAACCGACTCATAGGAATCCCCCGAATAAACGGACCAAACGAACATTTGTCCGTCTGTCCGATCGGACGTGTCGAACTGCTTCCATCAAGGAGTTTCCAATGAATGGTCTCCAAGAGAGCAATTTCAACACTTTGGGACTTGTATTATTCCCTACTGCATTGTACACAACATCAATATCACACTTGTATATGGTCATTCCCTTTTTGTGTGGATATAGATTGTCCGACAGACTTGCGCCCGGCACACTTGAGTCAAATCCCGACATCACAATCAAAGTCCAATTGTACGTATCCAAAACTTCGTACTTGAATAGTTTCTTTTTGGAACGTAAAAACTCATATGTCGTCATATCCCAACGCACTCCTGCTGTTGGAGGCCAATTTCTGGCTGTATAGCTCTCCTACTGAGAGGGCTATAATACACAGACAGGCCTATAGTTGGATTTCGGTTCTGGCGGACATCAGACAAGCGACAGGCTTGTCGTCGTCCAAACCGATTGACAACTTTGTGGCCCATAAAGCCATCATTGCCAACCA